AAAGCGAAAAAAACGATAAAGGGGCGTGGCTTAATGTATTAAAAGCGAATAAATCGAAAAAGAGGCGTGGTTCAAGGTAATTAAAAGCGAAAAACCGATAAAGGGGCGTGGCTTAACGTAAATAGTTTAAAAAATCGAAAAAGAGGCGTGGTTTAAGGATATTTTGAGCGAAAAAACCGATAAAGGGGCGTGGCTTATTTAAAAAACGAAAAAATCGAAAAAGAGGCGTGGTTTAAGGTAATTAAAAGCGAAAAACCGATAAAAAAAGGGGGCGTGGCTAAACGTAGAAAAATAAAAAAAAAATGAAAAAGAGGCGTGGTTTAAGGTAAATTGAAGCGGAAAAACGATAAAGGGGCGGGGTTTAATGTAACAAAACGAAAAAATCGAAAAAGAGTCGTGGTCTAAGGTAATTTAAAGCTAAAAAACGATAAAGGGGCGTGGCTTCATGTGAAAAAGCGAAAAAATCGAAAAAGAGGCGTGGTTTAAAGTAATAAAAAGCGAAAAAACGATAAAGGGGCGTGGCTTAATGTATAAAAAGCGAATAAATAGAGAAAGAGGCGTGGTTTAAGGTAATTAAAAGTGAAAAAACGATAAGGAGGCGTGGCTTTGTGTATAAAAAGCGAAAAAAACGAAAAAGAGGCGTGGTTTAAAGTAATTAAAAGCGAAAAAAACGATAAAGGGGCGTGGCTTAATGTATTAAAAGCGAATAAATCGAAAAAGAGGCGTGGTTCAAGGTAATTAAAAGCGAAAAAACGATAAAGGGGCGTGGCTTAACGTAAAAAGTTTAAAAAATCGAAAAAGAGGCGTGGTTTAAGGATATTTTAAGCGAAAAAAACCGATAAAGGGGCGTGGCTTATTTAAAAAACGAAAAAATCGAAAAAGAGGCGTGGTTTAAGGTAATTAAAAGCGAAAAAACGATAAAGGGGCGTGGCTAAACGTAAGAAAATAAAAAAAATGAAAAAGAGGCGTGGTTTAAGGTAAATTAAATCGAAAAAACGATAACGGGGCGGGGTTTAATGTAAAAAAAAACGAAAAAATCGAAAAAGAGTCGTGGTTTAAGGTAATTTAAAGCTAAAAAACGATAAAGGGGCGTGGCTTCATGTAAAAAAGCGAAAAATCGAAAAAGAGGCGTGGTTTAAGTAATTAAAAGCGAAAAAAACGATGAAGGGGCGTGGCTTAATGTATAAAAAGCGAATAAATCTAAAAAGAGGCGTGGTTCAAGGTAATTAAAAGCGAAAAAAAACGATAAAGGGGCGTGGCTTATCGTAAAAAGTTTAAAAAATCGAAAAAGGGGCATGGTTTAAGGATATTTTTAGCGAAAAAAACCGATAAAGGGGCGTGGCTTATTGTAAAAAAACGAAAAAATCGAAAAAGAGGCGTGGTTTAAGGTAATTAAAAGCAAAAAACGATAAAGGGGCGTGGCTAAACGTAGAAAAATAAAAAAAAAATGAAAAAGAGGCGTGGTTTAAGGTAAATTAAAGCGAAAAAAACGATAAAGGGGCGGGGTGTAATGTAAAAAAAAAACGAAAAAAATCGAAAAAGAGGCGTGGTTTAAGGTAATTTAAAGCTAAAAACCGATAAAGGGGCGTGGCTTCAGGTAAAAAAGCGAAAAAATCGAAAAAGAGGCGTGGTTTAAAGTAATTAAAAGCGAAAAAACGATAAAGGGGCGTGGCTTAATGTATAAAAAGCGAATAAATCGAAAAAGAGGCGTGGGTCAAGGTAATTAAAAGCGAAAAAACGATAAAGGGGCGTGGCTTAACGTAAAAAATTAAAAAATCGAAAAAGAGGCGTGGTTTAAGGATATTTTAAGCGATAAAACGATAAAGGGGCGTGGCTTATTGTAAAAAAAACGAAAAAATCTAAAAAGAGGCGTGGTTTAAGGTAATTAAAAGCAAAAAAAACGATAAAGGGGCGTGGCCAAACGTAGAAAAATAAAAAAATGAAAAAGAGGCGTGGTTTAAGGTAAATTAAAGCGAAAAAACGATAAAGGGGTGGGGTTTAATGTAAAAAAATTAACGAAAAAATCTAAAAAGAGGCGTGGTTTAAAGTAATAAAAAGCGAAAAAAACGATAAAGGGGCGTGGCTTAATGTATAAAAAGCGAATAAATAGAGAAAGAGGCGTGGTTTAAGGTAATTAAAAGCGAAAAAAACGATGAGGAGGCGTGGCTTTGTGTATAGAAAGCGAAAAAATCGAAAAAAAGCGTGGTTTAAAGTAATTAAAAGCGAAAAAAAACGATAAAGGGGCGTGGCTTAATATATAAAAAGCCAATAAATCGAAAAAGAGGCGTAGTTCAAGGTAATTAAAAGCGAAAAAAACCGATAAAGGGGCGTGGCTTATTTAAAAAAACGAAAAAATCGAAAAAGAGGCGTGGTTTAAGGTAATTAAAAGCGAAAAAAACGATAAAGGGGCGTGGCTAAACGTAGAAAAATAAAAAAAATGAAAAAGAGGCGTGGTTTAAGGTAAATTAAAGCGAAAAAAAACGATATAACGGGGTTTAATGTAAAAAAAAAAACGAAAAAATCTAAAAAGAGGCGTGGTTTAAGGTAATTTATAGCTAAAAAACCGATAAAGGGGCGTGGCTTCATGTAAAAAAGCGAAAAAATCTAAAAAGAGGCATGGTTCAAGGTAATTAAAAGCGAAAAAAAACGATTAAGGGGCGTGGCTTAACGTAAAAAGTTAAAAAATCGAAAAAGAGGCGTGGTTTAAGGATATTTTAAGCGAAAAAACGATAAAGGGGCGTGGCTTATTGTAAAAAAAAACGAAAAAATCTAAAAAGAGGCGTGGTTTAAGGTAATTAAAAGTAAAAAAAACGATAAAGGGGCATGGCTTAACGTAGAAAAATAAAAAAAAAAATGAAAAAGAGGCGTGATTTCAGGTAAATTAAAGCGAAAAAACGAAAAAGGGGCGGGGTTTGATGTAAAAAAAAAAGCGAAAAAACCGATAAAGGGGCGTGGCTTAATGTATAAAAAGCGAATAAATAGAAAAAGAGGCGTGGTTTAAGGTAATTAAAAGCGAAAAAACGATAAGGGGGCGTGGCTTTGTGTATAAAAAGCGAATACATCGAAAAAGAGGCATGGTTTTAGGTAATTTAAAGCGAAACCCGATAAAGGGGCGTGGCTAAATGTAGAATTATTGAAAAAATCGAAAAAAAGGCGTTATTTAAAGTAATTAAAAGCGAAAAACGGTTAAGGGGTGTGGCTTTGCGAATCAAAAGCGAATAAATCGAAAAAGAGGAGTGGTTTAAGGAAAATTAAAGCGAAAGAACAATAAAGGGGTGTGGCTTAATGTAAAAAAGCGAAAAAATCGAAAAAGAGGCGTGGTTTAAGGTAAATTTAAGCGAAAAAACTATAAAAGGGCGTGGTTTAATGTTAAAAAGCAAAAAAATCGAAAAAGAGGCGTGGTTTAAGACTCATATGACATTGAAACTATGGAATATGATAATTTGTTCATATAGCATGCGTGGGAGCCACGGTTCAAGGATTTTTTCCATCGCTTAAGGGAAGGTAACTGGAAATGTAAGATACGGTAATGGTCATGTTAGTGTTTAATACACGGTAACGAGACATGTTAGCTCTCCATTATAAACTCGCGTAACGTTACCGCATCACCGCATCACCGCATATCAGTTATCTTAATTATCATCTGCAGAACCAAAACCCCAGTTACATTCCCTTAAGCGGTGGAAGATATCCTTAAACTGTTGCGCCCACGCATGTGCAAGTTATATGAACAAATGATCCCATGTCATATAAGTCGGCTTTAGTTTAAATATGAAAGTATTACGTCAACTATCAAAAAGTTTAATTCGATAAAAACAAAAAATATCGAAATCGACACTTCCCGTCCGTCCGCCATTTTGATGCAAAGGTGACGGCCGTTACCTTCGTTTGATACTGACCAGTGATTATAGGGAAAGTAGGGGATGGGTTATCCTGGATCACCCTGTGCGATGACGTCGAATACAAAGACGTCAAAACGTTCACCTGTACGTCAACCATACAATAAACATTTGCATATATAATAATTTTTGAATTCAGGAAGACAGGGCAACTTTGAAAAGTACGATAGCAATTCAGTAGATGCCCAGGAGGAGCCGTATGATTATACCAGTATCCTCCATTATTGGCCATATGCCTTTTCTATAAATCGTTTCAATAAAACATTAGTTCCTAAAGAAAAGGGTGCACGAATAGGACAACATTCTAGGCTGAGCGAAATCGATATTAACAAGATCCGAAAATTAAATAAATGTCAAGGTAATCCATACACTCGTACAGTATATACTTACACATATATCAAAATTAAAGTCAACGATGAATCAGAAAGACACGCAGTCTACACTTTAAAAATAAAAGTAGGATATATTTTATTTCAATTTATGTTTCATTGAGAGCACATATCGGGAGTATTTTCCCGGCGGATAGATACGCCGAATTGTTTGAAAATGTTTTTATTGGGGAACTATAGGGTATCATTAGCAAATGCTATAAATATGAAATAGATTGGTTACATATCATGCGAGAATTGTGAAATTAAAAACATCATGCCAAAATATCCAATAACAATGGAAAAGTCACTTATTTCAGTCTGAAAGAAGCCGTTTTTCAAAGCAGAAATGCCTTTGTATATTTCTTCCAAAGGTATCGCCTCCGTTGACATAATTTGCATCCTGGATTATGAAAATGACCAGTAATGGTGGTATTCGAAACCATTATCCTACACCTCATATGGGAAAATAACTATTATGAAATCACGATGCGGGTTGGGACGTTTTGACTTCTGTGGGGGATTCAAGCTCTTAAGATGTAAAGGGTATTACTATACCCTCTGAATAGGTTGCCTATTCAGAAAATAAATGTCGAATACTTGAAAATATATACTGCTTGATATACAACACTGATATGATTGGTTAGTAAAATTCCTGACTCTGAAGAATTCTTCAGATGATTAAGTTTAGCTAAAGGTCTCTTTTAAATTAGCGAGAATGAAAAGTATTTACCATACAATGTCTGAATTCCAATTATATCGTCATACTCAAGTCTAAAATTTTCACTGTAGCCTTGGTAATATGGCGCCATCACTGCGCCACGGACCTCAGAATGACTGAGCCCGAGAGCATGGCCAAATTCATGAGTAGCAACTATGCGTAGGTTTGTGCCGTCATGCGAGTCTTCCGTCCAATCTTCGTCTTCATCGAAATGTGTCCGTCCGTTCTCTGGGAAGAATGCATGCGCGAGAGTTCCACCTGTAATGCATGTTTACGCTATATTATACAGTTGCGGTAATATAAAATATAATCTCTTAGAGCCGTTCTGATTTTGCAGTTTCTATTATAGCTTTCATGTTATTGCTGACTGCTGAGCATGTAATTTTCAGCAAAAGAATTGCTCTATGGATGTCAGTGAAATTGCAAGATAGTTTGCCTGGTTGGTTTAATCTTCGCTGGGGCATCTATATATATGTCCAATCACACCTCTACAACAACATCAGTTCGGCAACAAAAAACTAATCTCTTGAACCACACGTTATCAAATCGTCTGTATTTTGGCGATTTAGAAACATCCAATTTTGTTATAAACTGACGAACTACTTCAGGATAAAAAGTAAAACAGGCTTTAACAGCATATGATATGGAGAATCAGAGAGGTTTTACCTGTGATACAAGTTGTATATCCCTTCCGAGGATTACAATGTAAAATAACATACCTTTTCCATCGAAACTATACCCATCTCCGTGTTCATATCGTCCAAATCTTATATCGATATCAGAATCTCCGCTCGTCTGTCTAAAGTTTAAGTTCGTCACCTCGCTCCAATAATTCAAGCCTCTTGTCAAAGCATCACTGAATAAGGGAGTAAAATTGAGATTGAATTTTCAAATACACTAAGTTTAGATACATATTTTATATGTAAATGGACAGAGGGTTGTATCACACTACCAAAATATTAGTACTATAAAGAGAAGTAGACGAATATGTCAATGGAGGAAAGAAACAACATTTTCAAATCTAAACAGTGGGATTTCAAATATAAAACGTATTTCTTATCTAACAATTGGTTAACGATAAACAGAGACGTTCGTTTTTGGTGTATTTAGAACATTAATTATATATACTACGTACGTATACTGCAATGAGAAATATCGTGGAAAAGTGTTCAGAGATTTATAAATGTATTTAAATATTAATACTCACATTTGCACACGCCGGGGAAGATCGGGTGAGAAATTGCTGATTTTCCATGTAAGATCTCTATTCTTCCAGACATGTCCTTAAAGATGTCACCAATTCTTATTTGATTTATATTAAAACATGATATGTGATGTCACAATAAGAACAATTGATTCACTGGTCTATATTGGGCAACGTATGACTTTTATTGTCCAGTAAATATAATGTCAGTTACTAATTGTAATAAAGACTAGTCACTTCGACTCTCTGATTAATGGCAAATACTAGTATATGACCTTTAGATTTATTAAGGCTATTGCCACAATGTTATTATCACAAGTTATATGTTACAGAGTAGGGTATACCAAAGCTTATCCTAGACTTAGTGTACTAAATGTATAATAACATGAAAAAATAAATTTGATATTTATTGGCAAAATGAATATCCGGAGGATATCGTGACGATATACTCCGGAAAACCCAATATGCGGAGGATATTGTGACGATATACTCCGCTTGTTGATTTCCCGCCAAATTGACTCTATTTGGCATGAAATTCATTTTACAATAATGTTATACATTCAGTACACCCCTTGTAAGTGTAGGATAATAAGAACATCCTATGGTTTTTTCAGAATATCATTTTAATCTACTCGGTGATATTGATATATGCACTCGTTCGCTTCGCTCTCTCGTGCAGATATCAATATCACCTCGTAGATAAAAATGATATTCCTCAAAATCATAGGATATCCTATAAATTAAATATCTATTAAAAGGTATTCCAGAATTCATTAATGACCGAATAAAGCCATGCTTGATTTATCAGGCCTGCACAAAACAGGTGTTGAGGGACAAAATGATTATGCCATAGTAAGAAATATCTTTGGAATAAATTCGCAAAACAATTCTATTTGGAGAAGATGACTTAGTTGTAAAGGAAGAGAACCCACATTGTAAGAATAGACTGAACTAAGTGACTTGTCTATTGAAATTGGATATTTGACACGCTGTATTGAATTTACTGGCCTCCAATCGTTTCAACATGGACCTCTGTTCCCCGGATATCAGGCATGGCTAATATTGCTGTTTATTTGTCTTTTGCTTACCTAAACTATAAAAATTCGATGGAGCATTTGGATCAGCCTTTATTGATGACCCAGTTGGGTTTATCACATCCGGCAATCCACAGCGAGGCTGCTTCATTTTCCATTTGGTCTTTTCGTCCAGTGACCCAGTAATTGGTATATGGTTGAACCTCTGGAATTTCCTATCAAGACAGTACGTTAAAACGGTCAACGTGAGAGAAAACGACACGGGATCTTGCCATTTCACGTGAAGTAATATTCCATGAAGCACGAAGGGCTAGTTGTGAGTCGGAAGTGCCTCACGTCTTTGGTGCCACAGGTGAAAGTACCAAGAGTATTCAAAATGAAATATTTGATTTCTCATATTAATTTTAACTCATATTAACTTTTGGCCGGATCTCCCGCTCGTCTAATATCGAAATTAAATGGTACTTTTTAGCAAAAAGAAAAAAGTTTGTTTTATAACTCTATTCTACTTGCAATGAATTCTACCAATATTCAAGATAGATTAGTTCATTTCGTTCAGCGAAGGATGGATTTTTAGCATTCACTGTGGCTTGATGTACACTATACAATTGTTGACCTCTCCAGAGGTCAACCGGCAAAATTGTATACCGAGACTGTAAACCGAGAAACTACTGTTGACTGAGACCAAAGGTCGAGGTCAACAGTAGTTTCAAGGTTTACAGTCGAGGTATATGATTTTGACGGCTGACCGAATGGAGAGGTCTACAATTGTTTTGTTAGTCCGAAGAAACTAGCAATACACATATAGACGACAATCATCAATCGACATGGCTTCATGTCACAATCTTTTCTCTCTATATTCGGCACACCACGGCGTACTCACTAGTAAATAGTTAATTTTACGTTTCTATTTGTAATTTTGCTATACTTATCGTCTAGTAAAGTAAAAAATATCACTTTCATCAACGTTTACAAAATGTTTTTTTCTTTTAACATTATGACGTCATATTCGCCATAATTCACAAGTGTAGTACAGTAACATACGCGGTCAATAATATGATATCCCATGATGCACAGGTGGGGTACAGGCAAAAATGTTGACCGCTAATTGACCAATCAGATACGAGTATTTACACTGAGGTACTAAGTATGTATACCTTATCGCAGCTCTCCTCGCAGCGTCGCTATTCTGTTGTCCAGGTTTAGGCTTCGCAAGGTAGCCAAACGATTCGAGGAATTCCTGTAATGAATACAACAAAGAATTTCGCAATTAGACGCATGGTTTGAGTGGACTTTAATATGTTTGTGAATATCAAAATGATATTAAAGGCAGAATCAGATCTATGGGGGTCACAAAATTACAAGCATTATGTACAATTGACCTACCAATCTGTTCCTTACAATCCCAAATACAATATCTCCCAAAAGATTCATGATATAGCATAAATTGTTGAAGTTTTGATGAATTCAAAGTGCAAAAATTGATAAAAAATGTTTAAATTCTTCCAAATAATAAGAATGGTAACCATTCTAATAGAACAATAATACATTATTATAAAAATCTTTAGTTTTCTTGAAATAAAGAATGCACTTTGGGGATTTTTGGAAAATAGACATGAAAAGGAATGACATTAGCCAGAAATATTCTAAAATTGGAGCAATTTTTTGTTAGGCTGCTCGCTAGATCTGATTCTCTCTTTAAGTTGCAAATATAGATTTGATACGTTTCCTTTTTGCTGTCAGTACTGTGGTCAAATGGTGAAAGGGCTGAAAACCTATTTTTCAACAATAATATGGAGGTTTTTGAAATGAGGTGAGCTTTTGAGACGCCACTTTATAAGAGACAATTGAGTGAGAATTAAGCGACAACAGAGTGTGTCGTGGATGATTACAAATGAGAACCTTATGTTGATAGAAAGACAGACAGATGGTCGGCCATGTTGGCGATAGCAATAGCCAACACTATGTGGGCTAAAAGTATTCCACGTTTTTTATATGTGGGATAGGAAAAAATAATTTCGTGAGCGATGATGTAATTAAAATCGATCTCGAATGGAAATACGTAAGATTGTCCTGTTTATTTAATAAATGAATACGTGAACGATCCACGCCGAGCTGCTCGGCTACTTGAAATATATAGAAAATGTATTTGCACTTTACATGTAAACATGCTCTGTTACTTGCACTTTACATGTAAACATGCTCTGTTACTTGCACTTTACATGTAAACATGTTCTGTTACTTGCACTTTACATGTAAACATGCTCTGTTACTTGCACTTTACATGTAAACATGCTCTATTACTTGCACTTTACATGTAAACATGCTCTGTTACTTGCACTTCACATGTAAACATGCTCTGTTACTTGCACTTTACATGTAAACATGCTCTGTTACTTGCACTTTACATGTAAACATGCTCTGTTACTTGCACTTTACATGTAAACATGCTCTGTTACTTGCACTTTACATGTAAACATGCTCTGTTACTTGCACTTTACATGTAAACATGCTCTGTTACTTGCACTTTACATGTAAACATGCTCTGTTACTTGCACTTGACATGTAAACATGCTCTGTTACTTGCACTTGACATGTAAACATGCTCTGTTACTTGCACTTTACATGTAAACATGCTCTGTTACTTGCACTTTACATGTAAACATGCTCTGTTACTTGCACTTTACATGTAAACATGCTCTGTTACTTGCACTTTACATGTAAAAATGCTCTGTTACTTGCACGTTACATGTAAACATGCTCTGTTACTTGCACTTTACATGCAAACATGTTCTGTTACTTGCACTTTATATATAAACATGCTCTGTTACTTGCACTTTATATGTAAACATGCTCTGATAATTGCACTCTTCGTAGGCATATTCGGTTACTTGCACAATACATGCATGCATTCTCGGTCACTTGCTTTTAACTACACTATACATGGAGGCATACAGTACCGTTACCTTTACTATACATAGAGGCACTCTGGATCATTTGCATTGACATTCAGGCATTCTTGGTTACTTGCACTTTACATGTAGTCATTTTCGGTTACGTGTACCTTGTATGCATGCATTCTCGGTCACTTGCTTTTAACTGCACTATACATGGAGGCATACACAGTTACTTTGACCATACATAGAGGCACTCTAGATCATTTGAATTGACATTTAGGCATTCTTGGTTACTTGCACTTTACGTGCAGTCATTTTCGGTAACGTGCACTTTGTATGCATGCATTCTTGATTACTTGCTTTTAACTGCACTATACATGGAGGCATACACAGCTACTTTGGCCATACATAGAGGCACTCTAGATCATTTGCATTTACATTTAGGCATTCTTGGTTACTTGCACTTTACATGTAGTCATTTTCGGTTACGTGCACTTTGTATGCATGCATTCTTGGTTACTTGCTTTTAACTGCACTATACATGGAGGTATACACAATTGCTTTGACTATATCTTCAGCGCATGCTTAATGTTGTAAACCAGTGGTGTAGGAAATGGAGACTCAGCATAGGTCAGAAAAAACTAAAATCGTTCACTACAGGCCAACCTCTAAACCAAGATCTACATATCAATTTAAGTGTGGAATAAAATCAAAAGAATATACTGAAAAATATAAATACTTGGGAGTATGGCTTGAAGAGCATGTCAACCCTCAAATAACAGCAAAGGAAATTGCTAAGTCTGCAAGTCGTGCTTTATGTGTAATAATGTCAAAATTCCAACAAACTGGAGGCATGGATATAACTGTTCACAGCAAATTATATGACACTTTAGTGCAACCTGTGATCAACTATGGCTGTTCATTGATAGGTAATAATGAGCACAAGTGTATAAATGCAGTCCAGAATAAGGCATCAAAATTCTTTCTTGGTGTCGGTGTCAAAACAAACAACGAAGCAGCTCGAGCTGACCTTGGATGGGACTTACCACTTCACAAACAACAGACAGAGAGTGCACGTCTTTTTATACGCCTGCAAAATTTGGACAAAGATAGGTTAAACTCAAAAATACATCATTGGTCCTTAAGACGTAAAAATAGTTGGGACTACAGAGTCTACAAGTTCTTAGAGGCATCAGGCCAAGGAAATATAACTCAAATGGAAAACTTAAATGCTAAAGCTATTTTAGAAGAGGTCAAGCTTTATCAACAATCTCAAGATCCCTTTCTAAAAAAACATTTGGAATGACAAAAACAATGAAGTGAACGGTAATAAATTAAGAACTTTCAGGCAATTTAAGTATGGAGTAGTAGCAGAAAGTTATGTAACTTGTTTCATCCAAAGACACCATCGAAGTGCATTGGCTAAACTGAGAACTGGGACGCTACAACTCCGTATAGAAACTGGTAGATATGATGGTACTCCTCTGGACCAGAGAACTTGCAAACTCTGTGATTTGGATGAAGTTGAAAATGAAATTCATTTTCTGATAAAATGTCCACACTATAAGCTCCTAAGGGATACCTTCTATAGAGAGATTGTGCAAGAGCAATTGCCATATATAGACTTGAATAATGCAAATTCACTTTTGACATTTATTAGCCTAATGCTTGCCAAGAAGATTCAAAAACCTCTAGCAGCTCTTATTCATAATATGTATTCAAAAAGGCAATTTGACTATGGCAGATTATAGGAGTTACATTTGTGAAGTCCAGACTTGGTTAAAACTGATACTTTTTAGAATTAAAGAATGATATAACTGGGCAGCAGGTGTGTGTCCCCAATCTGTTATAGTCATTTTCCAGCACTTGACTGCAAAATTTATTGTATCAATACAGTTTATTTATGTTTGCATATTCATTTATTGTGATAATGGCCATTAATAGAAAATATTTGTCAAAGCATTTAAAGATGGCAGCACTTGAATACTACTCTATCTAAGAGTGCTCTATTAAGTCAACTTACTCTAGTCAATATTCAATTTCATTAAGATATACATTTAATGGTGTCTTCTAAGCCGATGCCGGCTGGTGTTTTTTTTTTTTTAAAAAGTATTTATTATATGATATTGAATGTAGTTTTTAAACCTGTGACACAGAAATAAAATATTTTAAACTTAAACTAAACTATACATGTGGGCATACTCGATTACCTGCATTGTACGTGTACTATGCGTGACTTCAATTAATGATTTTAGGGTTAAATGAAAAGTTAATATTTTATTGTGGTTAACGTCATAATTATCTCCTCTTTCGACAACCAATAGCTGATTACATTTGATGAACATCCTTTAATTTGGGCTTAATAGGTGTAATTATCATGTCAAATGTGACACAAAGGAAATACATATATTTAGATAACCTCATTCTTGATGATTAAAGAACAATAAGTGTCAGCGTTGGACAACATAAATCGATATAAAAAAATAAACGTTAATAGTCCGAAAATCTAAAGCAACGCCAATGCAAAAACCATATCAAGTGATAAAAATAGAATAGAACATATGTTTTAAATATGGATCAAAGTTTACATTTTGGTCCTTAATTTTCGAATTACTTCAATCAGTTTTCATAGTTAGCCATGCATTATCACGTTCTGACCAATCACGACGTCATATAACCATGCATTATCTGAAATACGAATGGGTGATATTTACTTTTAGGCCAGTTGTCAATATCCAGGTTCGCAGATGACCTTGTGAAATATTGGTCAATTGAGAAATAATCCGTTTTGTGTTTAACAGATGTAAAAAAGGATGTAGGCACAGAACCTAAACATTATCTGTAGAAGTGCATAAATTAAAACTTATTTGCAATTCATAATATAACTGAGACGTGTTTGTTCTGAACTCTATTATTAAGAAATGCTTATATTTACTTTCTTTAATTAATAAACATGTAACTTTTAACGTTAAAAAGACGTCTCACAACTTCATTAGTCCTTAAAATATGTTACTTTTGTATTAGCTTTCAATCATCTCTAAGCAAACATATATTCACATTGCGATAAACTTACCTCGGGGTTGTCACCAAGTTTCTTGCTTTGGCCAGGGGGTAACGATTTATTCTTCTTGGTCTTTCCTTTTATCTTTTTAGAATTAGTTAAGACAATAACTGCATATATGCAAACTAAAACAACTAACGATTTTAAATCCATATCTGGGATTCTTTTCTATGTTCTTTCAATAATTTAACAAAATAATATATACACCACTTGCAAGCTTACTGTGTGGTTTATTTACTCCTTGAATATTTGCTTGTTGATAAAGTTCGTGTCTGCTCATCGAGATCTGAAGCTATGTTTTAAAATCGGACATCCACTTTGGTATTTATCTATCAAGGGTTCATTATCAAACATAATTTAGACAAAGTTTATTATCATTTTACAATTGTCCGTTTTTGTTTGACATTCAACTTTTTGTTTTTATGAGTTCTATGTTCTATGTTCAATATAAAAGGCATATTAACTTCCCAATAAGTAAGCGTCATTTCCTCATTTTAAGAATGCTTCAAAGGATACGTCATTTTAACAGTCACATTTTCGTAGTAAACCCGTGAATGTTTTACACATAAATTTTATGAACACAAAAAAAGATAAACTTTTTGTTACGATTATATATCTTTTTAAACAAATTATGATGTTTTTTGACCGCTTTAAAACGTGCATATCTCATATTTTTATATTTATCTTTTATCGTTTATTTGTTTTTTGGAATCCTTCAGCATTTTAGATGAGGGTATACCCGTTTTGCAATAAACTGAAAACTTCACTAGAATTTACGAGTAAGGGAGCATCTCAGCAAATTTTTGTAGGGGTTGAATATTTATTTTCAGGTTCAGACGATATGTCAAAATTACTATAGAGACATAGCAAAAATAAAGCTTTGGCAACTCTATGAGGTTCACATCTTTACTTTAAAAGGCTTGATTTTGTCCTTTTATTCATTACGAAGTAAATTTACTTTTGTCCGTTGATATGGTTTGATGAAAAAAAACTTTTGAAATGATCAGAAAATAAATCTAATATACTGTACTATCGTGTTCAACAGATATTGACATCAAATTGTTGAACAAAACGATATCACCCATAATCAAATAATATCGAAAGCCGGTACTGAAAACATTCTGTGAATCAATTTTTTTGAGATACGCCCTAATGCAAGATTTAAATACAATGACTGCATTTGTAAAACCTTGAATTCACATTTAGTCAAATTAACTTCCCCTGGAACAGTCGAAACGATTTTTCATAAATAGTTATACATCCCTTAACTCATCCACGTCTAGTGGAAATATATCGTCCTCGGACCATAGGAAATAGAGTAGATGTTAGAAATATAACACATTATGTACACAATGCACGCGCTTCCAATATAGAATATGTCGCCCTGTAAGTGTTGATCGACTACGACTATATATACTATATATTATATAGGATATTCGGCGCTACGAAATATCCTGACATGTATATATTTTATTACTTCAATTCGTTTAATAATTATTTATTTTATCTACTTGATTATTGTCGACATATGTTCATATGCATATTGTTTACAGCATGGTAGATCAAATATCCGTTTCAGTTGTATTACTTTTTATACATTAATTTTACATTTTTGTAATCTAAAAAGAGATCACATGCACTTGTTCAGTTGTAAATTACTTCATAGGGGTCGGAAGAAGTAATAAGACCTGACCTACTGTACACTCGGAAGAACTATGCATTTGTTTCATTTGACTGGATTTCTGTGTATGACCTTAATACCTGCAGTTAAGGGCTGCTGTGTGTGGGAAATTACGAATAGGGAGCGAAAATGTAAGTAGTTAATCAGAAAAGAGTAATTTTGGGGCTACACGCATATACCAATGAATGACATCGCGAACATCTTAAGCAATATCGTATCGCAAAAATTGCTTGGAAGTGTATAATTGTCTCGATAGCCAGTATACAGGGTGTTCCAAAAGTAACAGAACTTATGCTGGCATTTTGTCAATTCTGCACCAAGTGTCTTCAAATTTTCACAAATTGTACTTTGAGATATTGCAACTAAAATTGCAAAGTTTCTGTAGTAACATGACATCACAATACCCGGGGCAACTATTCCATGAAAATGTGATATCTAACATTTTTGATTTACTGAAGAAAGTATCTAATTCACCTATTACAGTACAACATTTCTCGTTTGTTTTATTAGTTGCTTTGTTGTAATGGTCTTGCAATGCAACTCAGATCCAAGTATGATGTCAAAAGAATAATATTTTCTTCATTTCCTGGAATATCAATATTTATTCCATGATGGAGAAATTCCCTGCAACCTGATTGGTCCATGTAACTTAAATATGTATTGTATTTACACGCACTTTCCACTTAGCGTGGGATACAGAGTGAAAATGACGTCACCGTTGGGATACGGTTCAGTGGAGAGGTTAAGCTTTGCATATATAATCGAAACTGAACCTGTACGTATCACTCGACCATATACAAATTCATGTAGCCTTCTCATATAAATAGCCGTTCAAATCCAGTGTTTGTTTAGACTACACCATAGCGTGTGATGATTCTATAGTATGTCATTGATGCGGTTTTATAGCTGGTTTTCTAATACATATTTTAAACGAGCTCGTTTCGTAAGATTTTTGGCGCTAAATCATGCATGACATACATCATCGTGTTCAGCAAGAATTCAACTGTACATCGAAATCAAAATTGACAGCATAGTGTTCAATAGACACGAGTAAAATGGTTCCCGTTGACCCAACGTCAACTATTCAAATCTCCCGTTCTAAACCCGAAACTCTGAAGCTGAAAGAGTATCTGAAGTAGACTAAGCGCGCATAAAACTATGAGCGCTCGATACATTCCTTTGTTAATTTTTGTACTTTGCGTTCACGGTTACGTTGTGAAAAACATCGTTAGCTTAACCTCTCCAGTATCCCAACGCCCCAGATTTCCATCCAGGATATGACTGTTACTGAAAAAAATCAATGGCGATTACTTTACACCAACGCATGCTTATCTTTGAATTTTGCTATAAATATCTGATTCAAATATCAGAAACGTATACTGGGATCACAACAATCAATAATTTTAAGATAAAAAACGCAATTTTGTAAATATAAGAAATCAATTTAAAACATACACATTGTTTTCATGAACTAATTAAAATCCAATATGGCAGACGAAAGTCGAAAAAACGTTTCGCTTCCCCTGCACTTCCAGCAGAAATTGAAGAAAAAAGAAAGAAAATCAAACGTCTCGTATAATACAATAAAAAGCAAACAACAAGGCCATAACGATTTTGACGGAATATCGATGTAAAATATCTCTGAGGTGAGAAGGTTGATCTGTTTCTCCGGCCTCAAGCCAAGGGACTTGATTTAGGCGAGTTTTATATGGGTAATCATGGAATAAAAACGTTATTCAAGGATTTCTCGTGAAACACAGAAACTATTCTTCCCTTGAACGTCTGTATTTCACTCTGCTAGCGCATCGTGAAATACAACCTTCTCGGGAAGAATATTTTCTGTATTTCATTGGAATCATTGAATAACTTATAATATCAAAAGATGTGTAGCAAATGTAATTACCTCCAGTTGTTACATTTCAACTTTGATATGGGAGTACAAAATGCTTAAAGTCTCTGAAACTTTCTGCGTGGAATGTTGCCCCAGGTATTGTGATGTCATGTTACCATAGCAACCATTACTCTACCCGAGTTTCATAATCTTTTGTCGAAACTTTGCAGTTCTAGTCACAATACATGAAAGTACAGTATGTAAAATTTTGAAGACAATTGGTGCACATATTTAACAAAATACCAGCACCAGTCCTGTTACTTTTGGAACACCCTGTACATACATGTATTTGTATCAAATCTGGGTTGGTCTCATTTATTGGCCCCGTCTACCAACACATGCTCGATTTCAGAAGAAAGACTGAAATTGAAAATACAAATATGGCAATAATTTCCTCTTCAAGTGTATACTAGGAAACACTATAATATATGATTTCATTGGTGTCAACATTATTGTTGTCATGGCCATAGCCAAGCATGAAGCAGGCGAGGCAACTGAATCAGATCACAAGATACATATTATGCTGGTATTTGAAGAGTTTGGAGAGAGACCGTATTGTTAAATTTTTAAGCTGAAAAGCTGCCTCGCCAAAATTGTGATTCTTGCTACGGCTCTGATTTATTTACTTTCATCGAATATACCGTCGATTGTTTATCTATTTATCATATTTTATCCATATATAAGTCTAAAAGTCAAAGCTTATTGATGTAATTAGTAGCAATAATACACTATTTAAGCTTCGGTCATATTTGCTCTAGGGCGGGCGTACAACCGTACAACGGCCATAGCTTCACAAAGTCGGTATAGAAAATCTACATCTGACTGCTTATTCCCTGTATTTTTATGGTTTTTATGATTTAGAATGTTGACACATTTCAAAATTCGATGTCGACCATACCATTCTGTAAATAGTTGATGTGTAACAACGTACTTCAAACGAGATGGCCTACTAGACTAGGAATGTAACTGCCATACTTCGACTCTATTAGGGACGCGTTTGCGACGTTGTGCAATCTGATATCAATTGCACTTTCGTGTGAACTCCGACAAAATGGGACTGGACAAACTGCGAATGAGATGGACGTATTGAAGACTGTTTATGAACGAAGTAGCTAATTATTTCAGACAAATTTCCCGACCGTAGCCAGATTGTTTTACGACAGTTTTGTACGACTGGAAAGAACGGTTGGGAATCCAATTTCTTACAGACTCCAACCGCCTATCGCCTACAACCGTCACGAAAACGGACACCATTACAATATGTGACAACTTTTTGGTGATGACATAAAAAGTATGGGAATAAGTTTATGACCGTAGTGTAAGGTGATGCAGCATATTTTGCTTTCTATTTAGGGTTAGATGAGCTGAATGCTGTGTCAAAACAATATGAGGATGCATTGATGTTACCAGAATGTGCAAACTCAATCACACCCGATTGCTCTGTGGCTGCTACGTTCTGGAACAAAGATGCCATATTAGCCGCTGAAGGACATGCCACTCATTATGGGAAAGACCATATTCGCGGTCGTAAGTATAAATGCGCACACGTACAGCAGCTATACCATTGGGAATTGTTTGAATCACAAATAAATCATAAGTAATAGTAATTATAATTTTTATTATTATTTGAAGTGTTTTATTGCTAGAGGTCGTGCAAATATCCTTGATGCGAGTAGAAATAATCTTGCTTTACGTCATTAAAAATTCAAAATTCAGTCAAACTGATGTCATATTTGGAATCTACATGTAAAATTACGTCTAGAAATATGGTTACGTTTTGAAAAGAGTTTAACAACTTTTAATTTTCTTTGAAAATGTGACTTCTAG